AGCATCACTGCTCTCCTGCCGGGTCTGGGCTCGAGCGTTGAGTTGGGTTGCGTTCTTTGGAGGATTGCGTTTTGCATGGTTTTCGGTGCGGCCGAGACGGTCGTGTGGGTCCAGTGTCGTGCATGCGGTCTGTGGGTGGCGTTTCTTTTTGGCTGCTGCCGAGTGTCAGCGTCTTGCCTTGACTGGCGTGCGCCGTCATGGCGAAGGCCGGGATCAGCGGGATCTGCGTGCGCTTGACTTTCAGCACTGCGTGCTTGCGTCCTTTGTCCAGTTTCCACGTGCGCACGATCGGGAGAATCGGGTAGAGACCTGGCTCCTTCGCACCGTCGAGGGTCCAATCTGCGTCCTCAAATTTGACGTACCTTGCTTGTGTCGCGCTCGCGTGAGTGCAGATTCAGGCGGGTTGGGGGATTCCGACTGCTGTTCCTCTGTGGTGTTCTTTTGCCCGCGTGTTGTGTGCACTCGGCTTCTTTTTGGCTGCTGCCGGGGCACACTTTGCTTGGCTGCTGGTCGTTCTCGTCCCAGTCCCAGGAGTGGACGTGACCCAGGCGGCCCTTCAAGAGTAGCTTTTTGGAACGGTCTACGTGGTGGGTCAGCGCGACGGGCATACCGATGGCTAGGGGAAGCATGCCGCAAAGTCCCTCCGTGTCCATGTCGTGGTACTGCAGCCAGCGCACTTTGGCATCCTTGTCGCAGGCCTGGGCTTGGAGTGCTTCCGCGCCGGCCCTGTCTTTTGCGACGGACCAGGTAAGGGGCGTGCCCGCGTCCCGGGCGTAGGCTTTTGCGCGGTCCTTGTTGATTTGGTACTTGGCGTCGTTGTTTGCCACTACCACAGGGGCATCTACGAATCTGGCTTCTCGGAGTCTTGCATCCTGGGGCCCGTCCACCACTCGTTTTCTGGAGCGTCGCTCGTCCGGCGAGAGGGTACAGCCTTCGACCGGGCGGCCGTGCAAGTATCTGTGGTTCCTCTCGGATAGGTTATTCTCGCGGAGCTCGTCTACGACCTGCCGGGCTTCGTTTGGGCTCAGGGGCACAGTGCCTGTTGCACTTTCCGTCGGTTCTTGTGGTGCTTCCTAGGAAGGGTGGGGTGGTGTTGCTGCGCTCGCAGCCCTACTTTCTGCTCATGCGTATGCAAGTGGTGTGCTGTTGTCTTCGTGCCTGTGAGTTGTTTGCGTGTATGCGGGCGGTGTGTGAGTTTTGGTTTCGGCGCTCTTGCGTGCCTCGTTCCACCAGTCGTCCTTGCACCTGACCCGTTCCTGGAGTTCGGTGACTCCCTGCACGGCACCTTCCCAAAAGAGGTCCTGGCCGTGGTTCGTCAGGGGGTCGCGCTCTCGGCTGGCCGTGGCGGACTTGCCGGGCGCCTGGAGCTTCGCGGGGAGGTCCGCGAGGAAACCTCCTTCGGGTGGTGGCAGTTGGTGGAAGTCCCCGCTGAAGATCACATTGATGCCGGCGAAGGGCCTGATGTTGCCGGTGGCGTCGTGTTTCCATTGGTTGGCATTAGGCACCGTGCTACGTGTGCGGGTCTCCACCTGGGCCAGCAGGCGAGCGCTGATCATACCCACTTCGTCGGCGACGAGCCATCGCCAGTGGGCCATGCGTTGGGCCGTCTGCGGCGTGCAGGCCGTGTCCAAGCAGTCCCTGTCTTTACTCAGGCCGCAGGCCGCGTGGAGCGTTTCGCCCTGGATGTCTGCCGCGTTCGTCGCCTGAAAGGCAGTGAATTGGAAATCGATGCCTTGCACGTAGCCCAGATACCTCTCGAATAGCATGCGCACGTACTTCAGCACGTGCGTCTTGCCGGTGCCCGGGCGGCCGTGCAGCAACCAGACCAGCGGCTTGTCACTGCGTCGGATGGTATTTTCGGCTGGAACCAGTTCGTACTCCACGAGTACGCGTTCCACGACTAGTCTTAGGAATGCATACTGCTCGTCGTTCAAGTCGCTGCGCACCTGGTCGCTCTCGAGCCAGGCCCAGAGCTGGCTGCTGCTTATCTTGGTAATACGTTTTGCGGTGGCACCGCGGCGGGTCCCGTCCAGGCCGGACGCCTCTGCCGGCGTCTCCGCGGTTCTCTTGTTGCGGGAAGCTTGTGCGGCTGCCAGCATTCGGTTGGGGTCGGCGATGCCTTCGGTCGCCGTGGCTCGTTTCAGGTGGCGTTCGGCAATTTCTCTCGGGATTTCGGCGGTCTCGGAGGCTTGGCCCAGCCAGAAGCTGTTGGAGAGTCTCATCATCTGCACAGTGAGGTCGTGTTGCGTGCTCGTGGCGGGTGCTTCCTCTTCGTCCGGTGGGTATTCGTCTTCTGCACTTGGCTCTTCTTTGCCTGAGCCTCGCACTCGCGTTTTGCTGGCTAGCTCCAGATCTTTCTCTTCGAAGTGGTAGACCTCGTCCCTCAGATCTTCGTTGTCGCTGTTGGCAGCCAGGTCGTGGTCAGGTTGGAGGGTCCGGGGCAGGCAGTATACGAAGGCGTAGTTGAGAACGTACCGTTTCAGCTCCTGAGTGGGAAAACCGTCGGCGTGTTTCCAGGCACAACGCAGCGCCTGACGCCAGCCGCTCATGTCTTGTGTGCGGAGCTGTCCGATGTACGGGACGGCTTCGGTGGCCTCTTGCGGGTTGCTGGTCCAGGGGCAGAAGAGCACCAGGATCTTCATGATGTGCTCCTCCTCGTTGCGGCTGCCGAGCGCGCCGTAGAGGACCGGCACGTACGGCCGCTTGCGCGGAACGATCACCCAGTCGTGGCGATGCTTCTGCACGAGGTCCCCGCTGCCCAGCGGGATCCAGTGCTCTCCACCCTGCTCCTGGATCAAGTAGTCGACACCGCCTTGCAAGTGTCGTCGACTGAGTTGCTTTTCGAGCTTCTCTTTGCCCTGGTTCGTCAGCAGAGCATGGTAGTAGAAGTCCTTTTGGTCTTGTGTTTCGCGGGCAAGGGTTGTTTCGGCTCTTTCCTGCTCCTTCAGACTCCATGGATACCTGGCTGCCTTCATGTGGTAGTACTTCGCGAACTCGAAGGCCGAGAGGGGCTGCACTCTGGGGTCTTTGCCGCGGTTGCCGTAGAGGGTCCACAGCTGCGGGCAGGGAACGATCCTTCCTTTGGCCCCTTTGGCTGTGCCTAGAGCGATTAGGCTGGTGTCGCTTCGAAACCTTGTGCGCTCTACCGGCAACGGCCGTCCTTCGGTGGCGGCTTGCAGGAGCTGGATGCCAACATGGAGGCATACTTCCGTGGACGGTGCGGTCTTGATGGCTTCTGCGGTTGTGGGGTCATTGTGACCAGCATTGTCGATGAGGTTGGCGCATTCCACAGAGCCACGGACAACGCCCCGGGCGAACACGTCCGTCATGAGGCGCTTCGAGGCCCTGGCGCCCACATAGCCGGCGGAGGTGTTGTCCCGCAGCTCGGTCTCCAGGTCCTTCTGGCTCTTCCTCCACTCCTGGACTTCGTTCACCGCGATGGGATTCCGCTTGTTCTGGTAGTCGCAGGCGTAGCCCGCCTGCGCCGCTTGGTTCAGTTGCGCCTGTTGGGTCAACTCGCGCAGGTTGCTTTGGGCGGGGCAGTCCCGCGTGCACCATCCGGCCGCGGTGTGGAGGTCCTCGGTGATGGGGAAGCGGTAGGGTATCTGCACGTCGCCGTTGCATCGGAGGCCGGCCAGCAAGGCGGGGTGGTTGCCGTTGAGGTTCGGGTCGTTGCAGGGTCCCCACAGGCGACCGAGAGCGCTGCGCTTGCCTTTGACGGGCATCTCCATCTCCTCTGCGAGTCCCTGGCACACCAGGGTGGTCCCGTCGACCAGCTGCTTGTCGCGAGGGAAGCCTGCTTTGCACTTCTCGGGGTCCTTCTTGTCGCGACAATGGTCCAGCGGCATGCGCGGACCGCCGGTCTGCTTGGGCAGGTGCACGTGGTGCTGCTTCAGTTGTTGCAGGGCCTCCACGTCTTCGTCGAGGTAGAGCCGTCGCCAGGTCTCGGCCCTCGTGGATGTGTTTGCGCTCTGGTACTTTGGGCGGCTCAGCGCCAGGAAGGAATCACGGTAGGCGGGCCACTGCTCCTCCGTCTCCTGGCGCTTCTTCTCCCATGCTTGCGGGTCGCTGTAGACGGTGCGGCTGACGTGGGCCGTGTAGGTGCAGTACTTTTGGAAGAGCTCCCGCTTGCGGTCCGGACCCAGTGCTTGCAGTTCGCAAAGGGGTTTGAACTGGTGGAAGCACTGGAGGAAGATCTGTGCAGGGAGCGGCGTTGGTTTAGTCTTTTGTCGGCTCTTGCATGTCGTGTATTGGGGGGGGGGGGGTCGTTTTTCGTTTTGGCTTGCGTGATGCTGCAAGCCTGCCTGGAAGTGGACGTGCAGCACTCCCGACTTCTGGCTCTCGATGGACCCGAACACGGCGTCGATGCGGCCGAAGATGCCCCCGCAGGCCATGGCGTTGCTGCCGAAGGCGTCCGTGCAGGGTTCCTGGTTGTTGCCGCAGTTGGGGCAGTTGGGGCAGTAGCGGACGCCGAAGAGGTGACGCAGTGCCAGTTGGACGAGGGTGCGGAAGCCGTCCGCGCAGGCCACGGGATCTTTGGTGAGCAGGGCCCGTCGAGCGTCATACGGCGGCAGCTCTGCGGCGAGTGCTTCTGAGCTCAGGCTGTAAAACTCCACGTCCAGCTCGGGCTTGCTCCGCCCTTGGGCGGCTCTCGTGGTGGCGGGCTCTTGGCCGAGGCTGGGGTCGGATTGTCGCGCGCGGGCCAGGCGCAGCATCACTGTGCTGTCTCGCTCCGAGGGTGAGAAGGTCACGAAGAGCGGGGTGCCGTGGCAGATTCGATTGGCGTGGGTTTGGTGACGCATGGTCTTTCGCACCTCGTGAGTGCCCGGGATGTTCCGGCTGCGGGCCTCCGTGTTGTCCAGCACCTGGCGCTGCTTTTCGTTGAGGTCCCGCGTCCGGTGTTGCCCGGTTCTTAGAACTTTACGTGCTGTGTGCGTGGTTTCTCGTGCTGAGCGTCCCAGCGGTCTTGTTTTACACGCAGGGTTGAGCGCTTGTAAGGCTCAGGTTCGTTTGCTACTTTGGTCTCGCGTGCATACGTTTCGACTCCCTGCCTTGAGGGCGGCTTGAGAGATCTCGGGGGCGAAGCGCACCTTGCCCAGATCTCCCTTGATGGCCTTTACCTGGTTGTTCACGTCGAGGTATTGCCCCTTGCTCAGCAGTTGCTGGATTTGCTTCATGCCTCCCGTGATCTCCTGGCTGGTGAGTTGTCGGAGCCCGTTGTTCTCGTCGGGGACGCTGTACATGAAGGCGTTCTGCTGCGTGTTCACCATGGTTCTGAAGAGGTAGTTCCAGAGCGTGAAGCCGAAGGTCCAGTCTCTTCGGAATTGGGTTTCTACTCGCCGCTGCATGGCCGCCGCCCACTCGTGGATCTGCACTTGGGGGGCTGTCGGGTTTCTGCTCCGGCGGCGCCCCTTCTGTCTTTCGTCGTTGCTGGGCGCCGCCTGGCTGTTCTGGACGTCTGGACAAGCGGTCCCGTGCGCGAAGCAGAAGCTGAAGGCTGTGGCGAAGTAGTACGGCTGGAATTGGTCCACGAAGATGTTGCCAGTGCGCACCTCCATGGTTTCGAGTATTTTGTCGTTCTCTGTCTTGCTGCGGAGCTGATCTTCGAGGTCGTTGAGCGCGGCCGTGGCAACGGCGTGTTGGTCTTCTCGGTCTTGGCTGTAGCCTTCCGGCACGACGGCTCTGGCGCGCTGGTCGGCGAAGATGGCACCTGCTCGCTGAGTGTCTTGTTCCGGTGCGTCTGTTGGTGCCGCCGCCTTTTGTGGTTGCAACTTGTGGGCGGTTTCGTCTTCTTCGCTCAGGCCGCAGATGACCTTCAGCACCTCCGGGGGTACGCTTCCCTCCGGCAGCTGTTCCGCTGCCTCGCGCACGGCTGCCTCCCGCAGGTGTTGGAAGGCGGGATGCCCTAGGCGTTGCATGTCTAGGATGAGGTTCACGACCACTTCTCTCCGCACCGTCGCCTGGTGGAGCAGAGTCTTGATTTCGGCTTCGCTGGTCTTTCCCGTCTTGTTGGTCTTGAGGAGGACCCTCACTACATCGCCGAGCGCTTTGCCCGCGCGTGGGAAGCTGGGCATGGCTGCCGTTTCCGGGCCGTTGACTCCTGCTGCTTGTCGTTGTTCCTTGGCGACTTGTGCGTCGTGCGCTTGCAGGCTGCGCAGCAGGTCTTCCCACGGCAGGGGGAAGGTGAGGGCGTTGCCCCGCGCTCCCAGGCGGTGGCCGGCATTCTGGGCTTTCTCGTCCAGGGTGGTCCCCTCGCTGCGGTGCCGCGCTTCCATGGACATGCAGATTAGCGTCGTGACGCAGGGGCTTGCGCAGATCATCTCCATGACCGTGACCTTCTGTTCGTGCAAGCGCGCCGGTGAGTAACCGGTCCACATGTCGTTGCACAAGCTCAAGGGCGGCAGCTCACCTTTGCTCAAGTGCTGTGCACAATCACTGCAGATGGGCACTTCGCAGTGCTCGCAGAGGGTGTGCTGGGTCGGGTGTTGGGGGTTGGCGTGGCAGCGGTGGTCCTCTGGGCAGCATAGGATGTTGCCGAACCCGGGAACGGTCACGGTCCAATCGTCAAAGTTGGCCACGTCTTTGAGACTGACGCCTCCGCCCAGGTCGTCGTAGCGCTCCAGATACTTGTCGATGCTCAAGGTTTCGTGCAGCAATTCCATGCCCTCGATGTGACTATTGTCGTTGCTGCCGGGGCTGTGGATGAGCTTGCGCCAATGGATGCGCCCGGCGGTTCCCGTGTCGGCCATGTGCGGGTGGATGCACGCGCAGCTGAAGCAAATGAGCGATTCTACCTTGTCTTTGCTTGTGGCTTCGGCGAAGCTCCTTAGCGCGCTCCTGTCTCGCGAGCTCCCCGCTACGGGTGCAGCTTCCCTGCAGCGGAGTGCTACGGCCTCGTTGTACACGCTGGTCAGTGCGTCGGTCGGGACAGGTTTGGGCATGTGCTGTGCGACGCTCTGCAGCGCCGGCCCGTGCGCCTTCTTGACGTGCTGGTGGAGCTCCTGTTCGGTGCCGGTGTCCGACGACCAGCTGCAGCCTTTGAAGGCACAGAAGACCCGCGGCCAGTGTTCCCCGCTGTCGAGCTCCTCGGCTCTGGCTTCGGGTGGTATCAACGGCTGGAACCTCAGCTGGGTGTTTGCGAGGTGCTGGAGTGCGTCTTCCAGGTTCCGTCTGGGGTGGTTGCTGACCGGTGCCACGGGCATGTCGGTTAAGTCTTCCATCAAGCTGGGTCCTTCTTCTGGTCTGGGCGGACATGGCTCTGCAATCCAGGCGGCCTTGCGTGCCTGGGCTTGTTGTTTGTTTTCTGCTCTGTCGGCGCGGGTTCGGTTGCGCTTGGCTGGACGGGGTTCCGGGTGCGGTGACGGTGGCGGTTCTGGTGCTGTTGGTGGTGGTGGCAGTGGCGGTGATGGCGGGGGTGGTTCCGTGTGGTCCTGGCTGGGCACGAGCACATCGTAGTGGCTTCTTGCGTACCAGAGATGGATTGCTTGCGTGAAGTTCTGTGCTGCGCGGGGATCACGTCGGGCCTCCTCGTCGACTTCCGCGTGTGTGCGCTCGATGGTATTGATCTGGCCGTCTGACGCCCGCCAGTGCAGGAATGCTCGCTGCTGTCTCATGAGGGTGAAGGCCACGATGGCCGTGTCGCCGCCCCAGTTACCGCGGTTGCTTTCTAGGTGTTCCGCTTCTTCCAGCCAGGCTTCTGCTTGCTCTTCATGTTCTTGGGACGCCGCGTTCTCTTTTAGGTACTGAATGATCTGGGCTCGCAGGTGGAGCCCATTCTCACCACTTCTCTCCGCGAGGGCGTGGAAAAGGCAATTGCCGTCGCCCGTCATCTTCTTCCTGGTCAGCCTGCCCGCGAAGTGCTCCTGTCGGGTGCACTGCCTGCTGTTTCGTCTGGAGCTGACGCTTCAGCGGACTTGTTGAATTAATGATTAATGGAAAGTGGCCTCGATGCTGGGGCCGAGCTCTGGTTCGTGGTCGGGATCCGGCCAGGCGCCTCCACGCGGCGCAGCCGGTTCTGCACGAAGTCGTCCGGCGGTGCTTCCCGTAAACCTCTCTGCGTTGTTTTTATCGCCTTTGGTTGTCGTGGCTGCTGATCTTTGTGCCTGCATTTGCGGCGAGGTTGATGGACATTCGGTGCGTGCACACTGTTTCGGATTCTCTCTGTGATGTCTCTGCCTGCTGAAGCGCCTCTGCCAGGACCTTGTCGTCGTCTGCGGTCCAGTCTGGCTGACGCGGCAGCTGCTTCTTTTGGGCCTTCAGGGCATGTCGTTGCTGGCATGTTTTTTTGTTCTGGTTTCTTCTGTGCATGTTGCGACCGTCCGAGCTGCCATGTGAAACCTGGCCACGCGCCTTCTTTCGCTGGGGTGCGGCTTGATTGGTGCTGGAGGGCCTTGATGTGCTCCGCCGGGGTGCTGTCGTCGGAAAGGTTTTCCACTCCTTGCGTGCATGTGCCCCGCTTGCGCTGCTTTCACTCGCGAGGGGCGCGGACAGGAGCTGTCGGCGTGCCTCGTCGATCTTGATTCTTCCGGCCTCGGCTACAGTCTTTTTTTTAGTGGATGTGAGCCGTTTATGCATGCGCCCGGGGTTTTGTGGGTTGGGTCTCTGGGCCGGGTACCGGCGTCAGGAGTGTCAGGCTGCACCTCGTAGCCAGGTAGTCCGTCTTGAAGGTCTCGAAGTCCCAGCCGATCGCCTGCTGTTTCGCTGTCGTGTGCTTACAGCGACGGTTTCGTGTTCGGTGCTTTGTAGTCGATGCCGCCTGATCGTCGTCGTCTGTCATGTCGGCCCATCGCCGGCGGCTCTCGGGCTGCATGATGTTTACACCTGCCGGAACGGGGGAGCGAACCCTGGTTTGCTTCGTTCCCTTTGCTGCTGGGGGTTGGACGTGTCTAGCTGGCTGGCGGATCGCACGGCGGGATCTGCCGCTTGGCGCTGACTTGCTTGGGCGGCAGGTTGGCTGCGGTGCGCTATTGGGAGAGCCTTCTTGACGTCGGCATACGACCTCGTTTCTTTTTTTCCCCGGGGTTCTGGCTTTGGTCCGCGAGCGCTGTACACGCAGGATGCCGTGCACGGTGGCGGCTGGTTTCTCAGTCGCAGTTGGCTCCGAACTTGCCCGCTGTTGCTTTCGCCTCGTCGGTGTGGCCGTGGTGCAGAGGCTACGTTTCAGCTGGTAGCGCTGTTGGAAGGTGGGCAGGCGCTGCCGCACCTCAGCCGGTAGCCGCCCTCGGTCGTCTTGGTTTTGAATCGTCAAGCCCGCCCTGATGAGCAGTCTGATCCACGTGCTGCTGCCCCTCCTTGCGGCTTGGTGGAGCAGGCTGTTGGCGCTCGCATAGGCCTGCACTCTCGCGTTTGCGTGGAGGAGGCACGCTGCTGCTAGTGGTGCTCTGTGCTCGAAGGCGCGCTCTATGGGACCCCGTTGGTAGCGATCCTGGTGATTAATGTTTGCGCGATGTCGGAGGAGCAGGCGCACCAGTGGTGCTGAATTCATTGACACCGCGACAAGTAACGGGGATTCCATGGTCCATGATCGTCGATCCACGTCCGCCTGATTTTCGATGAGGAAGCTGGCCATTCTCGTGTTTCGACTTTCGCATGCTGCCAGCAGAGGGCTGACGGCGAAGTGTCTGCCGTCGACGTCGGCCTGGGCTGCGACCAGCGTTTCTGCGATCGACACATGCTCGAAGTTGGTGTACGCCGCGAAGCAAAGGGGACTGCAGGGCCAGCTGTTTCTGCAATCGGCGATGGCAATGTTGGGGTCCACGAGGCTGTCCAGTAAACTGCAAACGTCGTCGTGTCTTTCCAGCTCTATGGCCACGGCTAGCTTCTCGCCTCCACCGGCTTTGAAATGTCGAGCCACGGCGAGGAGTTCCACGTCTTCCAGTACGGCCAGTTCTGCGCAGTCGGCCCAGGTCGTGGTCGGGCTGAGGGACCCTCGCCCGTCGGCGTAATGGATGCTGATGCGGTTTGCCGGTGTGCGTAGATGGATGGCCACGGTGCGTGCCAGGTCGTCGAGGATGCGGTCGGTGCCCTTCGTGTGGGTGCCGGGTTGGATGGTGCAGATGATGTGGCCGCCGCAGCTCCGAACGCGCAACATGGGGGATCGACCTAGGCGTGTTTTGCGTCCTCGTCTCTCGGGTCGCTAGACCCTATTCTACCTGTCTGGAGTCGCTGGAGCCGTGAGTTTCTTCTGGTGATGTGCGAGCAGGCGAAGCTTGCATGTCGTGTCTGAACAGAACTGGTGCTGTACCGGACCCCTCCTTTTTCTCCCCCTTGACTCGCCCTAGTGGCGGACTTGTGCGGTAGCATCGGCCGTGTTACGCTTATCTCGACCTTTTTCTTCTTCTTCTCCTCCCGTGAAGCTTCGCTCTCTCTTCACGGACCTTAGTGTGTCCTGGTGGGTCTGTTCGAGCTGGTGTTTTAGGCCGGCAAGAAGCGCATTCCGCATGATGTATTTGCCTGCTTGGGCCCGTGCACTCAGAAAGATGTCCCTCGCCGCTGACGGGGGTATCGCCATCGGGTCCCTCGGCTCGGCGATCAGTGGGTTGCAGCGGGCGTCCAGGAGCGTCAGCACGTTCCTTGTCCGGCCGCACCACACCGCTATCGCCAGTGGCCTTCGTCGCCTGTTGTTCGGGGCTTCCATGTCCGCGGCTGCAAGCAGGAGCATGTTGACTATTTGCGTGCTGCCCTTCGCGGCTGCTGCTGCGAGGGCCGTGGTTCCGTTGCGGTTGCGGGTCTCCAGGTGACACCTGGCCGCGATCATGAGTTGTACTTTTGACATGTCTTGGCGCTGCGTCGCTTCTACCAGCAGGTTGTGCTCCTCCTCGGTATTGGCGCTGGCTAGAGCCTCCAGTAGGAGCTTCACGTTCTCGATTTTGTTCCCCATCGCTGCTGCCATTAGAGGCGTCCTTGGTTGTCGGTAGAGCATTGTTGTTGGGCGGATGCAGTTGGGATCTAGCGGTGTGCTCAGAAGCTGTTCCAGTCTGGTTGTAGTCGGTCTGCCTGCGGCCCAGATCGTTTCATCCGTGCTCTGGCGGTCGGCTGGGGCGAACTGTAGCTTGACCAGCTGTAGTTCGACCGGGGCACAGATGATGTCTCCGTCATCGAGTGTCTTGTGTTCTCGCAGCAATCTTTGTCGGAAGCGCGGCAGGCCGGTTCCGACCGCGAGCCGCCTCTTCACCGTGTCTGCTGGCTGGGGTTTCTCCAGCGTGAGTTCCAGCAGCTGCTGCCCCGCAAGACTGAAGACACGGAGGAGCTCGGGCTGTGCCTGCTTTGTGGTGTGCTCGGGCATGTGAGCCGGGGTTTGTGCGGCCATTGCGGTCCGTCGATTTTGCTTGGGCTTGAGCATTGGGTTTCTGCGGTAGTGCTTTATGTGGAAACGGTTCCAGGGTATGCTCATGGGTCGGTGGCGTGGCTGCGCGCTGACCTGTTCCGAAACCTTTCAGCTGGTGCGTCTGCATTCCCTGCACACCCGCTTTTTCTGCTGATCGGCGCCTAACATCCACGATCCTCGTTTTGCGCGGGCTGTCTTCTCATTGCTTTGCCGTGGATCCTGCCGGTGTCCTTGACGAGCTCCGCAGTTTCTTTCTCTAGCAACTCCACTGGCTGCACCCAGGGTTCGTCGCCGTTGTCGGGGTGCGTCCCGACGATGTACATCTCGGCCACGCTTTTATGGTAGTGCTCTTGGAGAATCCATCTGTACACGTTGAGCTGCAGGTGGTAGCGGGAGAGGCTGCTATCGCCGAGGCGGTCCAGGGGCGGTTTCATACCGCGGTTGAAGTGCAGGCCCCGGCTTGCTATTCTGCTGCTCCGTTTCCAATCTACGAGTACCAGGCAGCCGTCGGGTTGTTGAAGGACGAAATCGATGCTGCCGGCCACATCGATGTCGTCGGCGTAGATCTTCCACTCCGTTCTGTAGGCCGTGGCGTGATGTAGAGTTTCCAGGAACCTGAACAGGAGATTTATCTCCGGAGTCATCGCTTGTACGGTTCCTCCGTTAAGGAGACATTCGAATTGAGCGTGCATCCATGTTCCCTCTCGGGCCGCTTTGTCCTTCGTTGCATCCCACTTCCTCTTCACTTCGCTGCTCGACATGGCGAGGGATTGCAGTGTGGCTGCATGCGATGGGCTCGCGTGTTTATTTGCCGCACGAAGTTCTTGGTCCAGCTCCTCTTGGCTGTGGTCTCCTTGCTGAAGCATCGTCAGGATGCGGGGTCCTCTGGGCATTTGCCATACTTTCTCCTTAATGTCCGACGAGAGGGCGGTCTTGAGGTATCCGGCCCGCGGCCAGTGTGGCCCCTCCGACATGTGTTTGAACGCTTGGTCCGCATCGAACTCCGCGGCATACCGGTGAATCATTTGCGTCACCGATTCCCTTACACGCTTGTCTTTCCAGTAATAGGTGTGCGTCGAGTCGTCGAAGTGTATCTGTGTGTCTCGCTCGTGGGTGTTGATGTGCTGTAGTCTGTCCTTGACGTAGTTCTTTGGCAGGTCCGCTGGCATCGGCCCCTGTCCGCGCGCCGGGAAGTCCGTCGGTGGTTCGGGGCTTCTGATTAAGTTTAGCGGCAGCAGGTAGTCCAGTCCTTCCGTGGCGAGGCTGATTCGGTGCTCTTCCCCGTCGAGCTCCATGCCCTGGTTCTTTTCCATTGTCTTGGATTGGTTTCGACCCGCGGCGTTCTCGTTCATTAGTCTTCGTGATGGCGGTTGGACCGGCAATTCGCTCGCGTGGCTGCAGGGCACAAGGAGTTAGGCGTTTGTGGGGCCGGGTGGTCTTGTTGCTTGCGGGTTTGCATACCGGCAGTCTCGTCTCCCCGTCTTTGATGGGTTCGGGTGTCGTTCTGTTTTGTGTTCCCTCTTTGGCTTTGATACTGCGAGGGATGTGCTCGATGCGATGAATGTTTGGCTTGTCCCGGCTTGTCGTGTGTCACTGACCAGGAGGCTTGAGCGTTGGATCGCGGGGCCGTCGGATGATGTAGTTATGTAGTCCTCTGAGCATGGTGTACCCTGGTCGTGGACATTCAATCCTTGAATGGCGCGGCCTCTTTTTCCTTTCGCGTGCTCTCGCCGAGCGTTCGCCCTTCTACACAAGGTCGGTGCTGCGATGTCATACCCGGTGGAAGTGAATGCTAGGCGCCTGTGCCGGGGAACTGCCGTGCTCGCAGTTGAGCAGCACGGGCACGTAGCACGGGATGCTGTAGGTCGTTGGCGCCTGTCGAGATTGGCTGTCCCTCGTCGGCTGCTGCGTGCGACCCTCTCCTGCTCCGTCTTTGCCTGCTGGCTGAGTTGGCGTTGTGACGGGGTTCCACTGGTACACGAGCTCGAACCAGGTTCGACACGGGAACCGGTGGTAGCGACAGCGTTCCTTGAGTGTGTCCTGCCACCATTTGAGTTGTTCCTGTTCCAGTTCGTGGTACATGATCGCTCGGACGAATTGGCTTAGTTCTTCTTCCAGTGTGTACTGGTACCCGTTCTCGTAGTGCTCTCGTGGGTCAGCTTGTGTCGAGCGACCTGAGCGTACGTGGCGCGTCTTTACCTTATCTGGGCCCCGCGTTGACGCTCTGATTTGTGTTTTGAGGTCCCGGCCCCGTGCGGCGTCCGCGACGGTCTCGAAGCGGCGGGTTCGACTTATCCGGTTCTGGCATGGTTCGCGGAAGGTTGTGGCGGTTGTCCTGAGACGCCGGGAGCATAGATCGGTGCACTCTCGTTATATGGCAGGCCTCCGAGCGCCTCGCTGTCGCAGACCTTCTCCTCTGCGTCTTGAGCGAGCCATGTGGCTCCTCGCCGAATCGTCTGGCTGCGAGTCTCGCCTCTTGTTGGCGGTGTGCTGCTCCTGCCGTCGGTTTCTTTTTCTTGCTTTCTCGTTGTTTCCTACAGTTTTGGTGCAGTGTACTTCGCCGGTCCTTGTGGGATGCAGTTGATGTATTCTCTGCCTAGCAAGGCAAGCTCCTTCGGCCTCTGACGATGCTGAACGTGCAAAAGACGTGGCTCAGGAGGGGACGTTCTCGGTGTTGCTATCGTCCTTGGCACGCGGTGTAGCGAAGGGTGCTTTTCGGAGTGCCCCGGTTCCTGTCCTCGACGTCTGCCCAGGGTGGTCGCCTTGGCATGCCACACGGCCCGGGGTCCTTGTGAGCCATGTTTGTGCTGGCTGGATTCGGCTTGTTTGCCTTCAGGCGTATTCCTGATGGCCCGAAACGGCTGCGGTCAGGATACTTGGGGTTGGCAGGCGGCTGCATGCTGTCGACTCTCGCAGTGCTGTCTTGGCGTTCCTCTCCACCTCAATCGTGCAACTCATTCTTTTTTTTGTGCGGAGGCCCGGTGTCGTAGATGTTGGCTCGCGTCCGGGCCGCTGTCCTTGATGGAGGCACGTCCCTTGCTTGTGCAAGCGTCTGCCGTTTCGAGCTTATCCCCCGTGATTGGTATGCCTCGGATCATTCACAGAGGTGGGATGGCCCCTCTTGTCCGACGCTTTGATCCTGGCTTTGCATCAGAGCTTTCCTGCGCTGTCGTTTCCTGGTTTTTGCTCCCTTCCTGTCTGTTTCCATCCACTTCTGCGGCGTTGACATTGCTGTAGACCATCGCTCCTGCAACGCCTCCCGGGCCATCTTGTAGGGCGCCTGCGGCGTGCGTGTGTTTCGCACGCTTCCGTCTTATCGACCTGTCTTCTGGTCCCGTTCTGAATATTGCCCAGTTTTTCTTCTCTGGTGCCTCGTAGTAGGCAGTCGGCTGGGCCAGCGGTATGATGTTCGCCAGCACTAGGCCGTACATTTCGACGTACAGCTGCCTCCGGTCCATGTACCGGTGCTGGTCTTTTGTCTCTTCGAATTCCTCCCGCGACAGTTTCCTGCATTCTTTGATTGTTGCGGCCGCAAATACCCGGCCCGCGAGACCAAGCCACGCGGGTCCAGGGCTCCACGGTTTGTTGCGGATTTCCATTGTCTTTAGACCGTGGAGTATGAGGGCCAGCCAGCCGTCTTTGATCACTAAAATCCTGTCTCCAATTTGGGGCCTCAGCCCCGTGTCCGTGTCCGGTTCTTCGGTGACCATGTCTCCGTCGTTGTTCTTCTGCAGCGCCACCTGTGCGAGGGGGGGGGGGGGCATGGTATCGCCGGGTTCTTAGTCTTCCCGCGCCTGTTTCGTTTTTTTTTTGCGGTCGGGGGGCTTGCAGTCCCGCGTTGCCCGTTGCGGCGACGTCTTCCTTTTGCTGTGGGATATCTCCGTGGGCGTCCTTGGGGACAGCGATGCTGTCTGCGAGTACATGTACGGGCCTGGTTTCCAGCATGATCTCTGGGTGCCGTGAAACCTTGATGTGTCGTGTCTGGGGGACCGGCAGAGGTTGCAGCGTGCGTTGCATTGCAGTCTGGCACTTGCTCCCTCTCGCTGGGTGATGCACTCGGTGGACCTGTTGTGCTCGGTCCGGCGGTCGTTGTAGGCACTTCTTCCTTGGGCTGACCGGTGACACTTTGTTAGACATAATTCGTCGCCTAGCGGCCGCGGGTGATTCTGTGGTCTGAAGTCCGAGACACTGCCTGTGTGGAAGTCATGGCGCAGAAGTGCTGCTTGGCGAGAATCTACCCTGCTTGCTGGCCTGTGGCTGCGGGGGGGGGGGGGGGGGGGGGGAGCAGGGCAGCCAAGTCCGTGTCCGGCAGCGAGGTCAATCATGATTGTCGCCCTCGTGTGGCTATATGCAACGCGGTACTTGTTTTATCCTTCTGTTTTTGGCGAGCACTTGTTGTCGTTGTCACCTTCGAGGGCATTCCCCCTCCCCTCCCCCCCCTCCCTTCCCTGCTAATATTTCAGCGACTCCCTCCGGTGGTCTGCGATGGCTGCGATGGTATTGGACATGTTGCTCACGCAGGCTTCCAGGAGGATGATGCGAGATCGCTGGAGTTCTAGCCGGGTCGAAGGACTGGCGAAGTTCTTGCACGTTGATACCATGCGTGCTGGCTGCCGTGCATGGTGGGCCGCGCACTGGTTCATGCCCATCCTGGCGTCTTGCATGTAGCGTGCCGGGCAGCCGCTGGTCTTCCAGGTCCGCCACCATGTGCGGCAAGCCTGGTACCAGAGCTCGGCCGCGATCCGCTGATGCTGTTCCGGTCCGAGGTGCCAGCACAGCGCGATGTGGAGAGCCCGTTCTTGAAGGCGGGTGTCGCGGGCTGGCAAGGCAAACTTGTCTCTTCGGCGTCTGGGGTGTTTCGAGCTCGGGGCTGGGGAGTGTCGAGTCTTGCCGCCGGGTTGCCGGCACTTCTGGTCTCCGTAGGGCACTCGTTGGCCGCGATCCGTGCGGTTTTGTGTGCCCTGTCCTCGGTGCGGTCTGCGTTTTTTCCGGGGATCCTAGCGAGCTACTGCTACTGGGTGAGGTGCCGGTGGCACCGGTGTCATAGCAGGGCGCAGCTGTGTTGCGACCTATGCCTTCTGTTGCTTGTGCCAGCGTTGCTGCGGCTGCGGTTTCTTGGCTGCATCGTCGGGTGGTTGTCACGAGCAGGGGCTTGTCCCCGAGCTTTATCCTTTGGCTGTGCCGTGGCATCCCTTTTTCCCTCCTTTCGGCTTTGAGCGGCCCAGTCGGGTGGAGTCGTCTGTCCATGTCGACGTCCACTGTTACGCTCGCCAGGAGCCGATCCCGTCCCACACCCGCTCGATGCGGCTGGCAAAGCCGAAGGCCGATAGGGGAGGTCTGCGGGCAAAGTTTCGCCCGCACATTGTGTAGTGGAGCACGTAGAAGTTGAACTGCATGCATTCTCGCCCGCCTCGATGGTACAGTTTTATACCGGTTCGGCGTTGTACGTCGAATGCCTCTTCGACTGCGGCCGTGCCGGAACGCCACAGATCGAGGATGGAGCGGTAGTGGAACCAGCCCAGGTGCTTGTAGGTCCAGCCATTGTGTTTCATCACTCTCTCAAAAGATGGCCCGCCAGGTGTTTTCCTGGCCGGTGCAGAAGCTATTCCGATGAGCCATTCTTGCAAGAGCTCTTTCGCTGGGCAAGGGTTTTCACACAGAAAGAGCCGTAGTTCTTCCATCTCTTTCCGTATCAGGCTTTGCATGTGCTTGCAGTCGGGCATTGGCGGCGCTCGGATTGCGAAGGGCCCCTGCACGATGCTTTGCCGCGGAGATTGTGCTGGTGGAGGGTCCTCGAACACATCTGCCTCTGTTTTTTCCTCCTCGCTGCTGCTCTCTCTGATATGCTGCCATTGGTCGTCGTTGTCGGAGCTGGCCATGCGTGCTTGGTTTTTCTTTATCTACGTGGTCGCTGTGGGCTTGAGCAGTGGTGCTGTCGCTGGGAGAGTGACGTCTTGTGGAGGGCTCGTATCTATGTCTTTTTATGAGCTTGGGCACGCTGCGCTTTGCACTCTCCAAGGGACCCTGTTTCGTGCTGGATCTGGTGCGATGCCTGTCTGGTGCGCGACGAGCCTACTCCTGGCTTTTTCTGTCCGTCTGTACGCCTGCTGCCGGACGGACTCTGTGCCTGTCCGGGCAGGGCTTCGGACCCTCTTCCAGGGAAACCCGCTCTTCTGCCAGTTTCGGCCTACTACTTGGATTCTTCACCTAGGTGCACGGAGGGTTGTTTCAGGAGCCAGGTGATGAGGGGGTCCTCCGTCGTCCCCGTGTTGTCGATCAGGTACACTGGGGTGCACAGCAAGACCTTTTCCAGAACGCTCTTGAGCCTGTCCTTCTGCTCTTCGGAAGACTGGAGCTTCATGTGCCGAACGTATTCACCTTTCGTGTTGTCCGAGGTCGCGACGGTACCGCCCTGAATGTGGGCAGCTTCGAAGAGATCCCGAAATGTGTAGATGTTCCCGAAAAACATGATCTCGTACCCCTGGTTGGCCTGTTGAGTTGCCGTCTCGTCCTGTGTTGCGTCCTGCAGGGTCGCTGGCGCGGCTTCGGATGCTTCTAGCTCGACTTGTAGCACAATGTGCCGGCGGCCTCGCGGAGGGAGGGCTTGGAATGGGCGGTGCTGCAGAGGGTGAATGTCGTGTACTACCCAGGGGGCGGGTGCTGCGGCAGTTGCTTCGTCTGGGAAGAGGGCGATGAAGTGAGGCAGTTGGACGAGTTGTCCGGTTGACACCTTGTGGCGGACGATGAAGTCGATGAGGCCTAGGCCGTCCTCCGGTGTGGTGGCGTAGATGACCGGTTGCCAGTCCTGTATGCCGACCCCGTCAGGATCTGAGGGTCCGCTCAGGGCTGGTGCTCCCACCACGACCTTTATGTGCATCCGGGCTTCCAGTTGTGGTAGTTCTCTTACGTTGCCATCGGGGTGTTGCTGTAGGGCTTCCCTGCACGTGGCGAGTAGGTTGTATTCAAAACCTTTCCGTCCCCCTTGCGTGACTTGTATTTGCCAGAGCGGCACTGTGCCGGAGCCGTCTTCGAATACCCCGAAGGTGCTGCCCCAGCGCCGGACGGTGGCGACCAGTTCTGACCCGTCTCCGTTCGTGTCGGTTCTTCCCATCCTCGCGAGCGGCTTCAATGTGATCCCGCCGGCACTGAAACGCTTCCTCTTCGCGGCGGTGTTGAGCGTCTCTCCTCTGGCTGTCATGGTGCTCGAACGGGTTTGGGCCGTTGTCGATGTTGGGGTCGTGCGTGCTTATGCGGAACTCTACACTCTTGAGCCGAGCCACGAATGTGTTGCGGTTTTGTGTGACGCTGCCCTGGTGCGACATCCGAGCACGTTTTTTTTTTTTGCCTATGATCGATGCAGTCGTGTTAGCAGCTGGTCCCAGGCCGCTTCTTCGAGCCCGTTGCTTTGCCGGCATCGGGCTGCTTCATACCTAGGTGGCGAGCAGACCGATCGGGGTTCGGGCATCGCGCTCTGAGTTGTCGTGCTAGGTTTCGCGCTACGTCTGCCTTCGGGGGACGCTGAGGCTGAGACCGTCGAGTCAGGAACCAGCAGGCGTCCTGCCAGAGGTGGTACTCTCGAGGTCGCGGTGTTCTGGAAGTCGTCAGCAGGCTGAGCAGCAGAGCTCGGAGGGAGATGACTTCGGTATACCCGTGCTCGTCTTTCCAGTTCTGCTTGATGTCCTGCTCGAGCTTCTTCTTGATTGCCCGCCAGCGTCGGGACTGTGTGCACTTACCTCGCCGATCCCCGCATCGCCTGTCTTTGTGCCATGCTCCTCGCCTCTGGGCGGATGTCGTCTGCCAGAAGGTCTTCATGTGGTGCGTGTGTACTTCAGCTTGACTTGGCTGCGGCGTATGTGCTAGTGCTGCGATTGCAGGCGAAGGGATATGGCTTCCTAGCTGGGAAGAGGGGAAGGGAGGGGGCGAGGGGGGGGGGGGGGGGGGGGGGGGGGGGGGGGGGGGGGGGGGGGGGGGGGGGGTGTCGTGTCTTGGGCGGATGTGGGAAATCCATGTGAGACTTGTTATACTGTGCGGTCTTGCATGTCATAGCAGGACTGTGTGCTCGCACTGCGTTTCTTTTTTTCGAGCAGTCGCGCAACGGGCGGGGCCTGTTTGGACTGTTTGCCCTGCCCGGCTGATGTTTTTGATCCTTGCTTGTGGTGATACGTTGTAAGCGCTCACTTCTCTCCGACGGGGATGGATCCCAAACCAGATTTCTGTCCATCTGGCGTTTTTGCCGTCGATCAAGTCGATCGTGTGGACCTTTCACCGAAGTATACCGAGGGCTGCTGTAGAAGCCAGCTGACGAGCGAGTCCTCCACTTGCTCCGTCTGATCGATTAAATAGGCTGGCACCCGCAGCAGCACCTGTTCGAGGATCGTCTGGAGCTTGTGGAGACCTTCCTCTGATGGCGTCAGTTTCAGGTGCCGCACGTAGTCGTCTCTGACGGCGTCTGGTTGAGGAACGAGGCCGCCCTGAATGCCGGCGGCGTCAAAAAGCTCCCGGAACCCGTAGATGCCGCCGAAGATCGTGACGTGGTAGCTCTGCACAGGGTTCTTGTCCGTTTGGCTTCTCTCTTCCTCTTGGCTGCTTGCTGCTTCTTGGTTGGCTGCGATGTTACATGGCTCTGGTTCTGGCGTAGCCAACTCCACCTGCAGCAGCACGTGGCGTCTGCCGCGTGGTGGAAGGGCATGAAACGGCGGCGTCTTCAGGATGTGCTCCTTCTTCACTACCCAGGGTGTGGGGGCTCGCATCTCGTCTTGCTCCTCTGGGAAGAGAGCGATCAGATGGGGCATCTGCAGCAGATGACCGGCGGCCACTTTGTGTTGCATGATGAACTGTATCAGGTTCATGCCGTCCATCGGCGTGGGGGCGTAGACCACCGGCTGCCACGCTTCCAAGCCGACTCCGTCTTGATCCGTGGGACTGGTGTGAGGCGGTGCTCCGTTGAGGATTTTGATGTGCAGCTCCGTTTCTAGCTGAAGCGGGTCGCGCACTTTCTCGTTGGGGTGCCGTTGCAGTGCTTCCCGGCATGTTGTTATCAGGTGGTACCCGAAGGCCTGCCGACCGCCGTGTACTACTTGCAATTGCCAGAGGGTTTCTGTCTTGGAGCCGTCGTCGAAGACCCCAAAGGTGGCCCCCCATCGTCTGATGGTTGCGACCAGCTCCGATCCGTCGCCGTTGTTGCTGTTCACGATTGACCTGGCTACCGTCGTTGGTACGACGGAGGTGGCGCGAAACCGCCGTCTTTTGGCAGCATCGGTGGCCCCGTCTACTCGGCTCGCCATGGTATGGGAATCTTGCTACCTACTTTCTTCGGCGTGGTTACGTCTTGAGCCATGATGGAGGCGGTGTTGACAGCAGTGGCTACCGGATCCGTCTGGCGTCGGTTTGTGCTTGTCTTGACTGGTGTCAGCGTCCAGTGGGCTTTTGCGGCTGGCATCGAACCCTCTCGTCAGGTGAGACTGGGCTATCTGTGCAGTTGCAGTGCCTAGCCACGGTCCCCGCAGCAAAATGGTCGCATGTTTGTTTTTGCTCTGGTCGACTGCGATGCTCTGAAGTTGGGCTAGAGCACTTAATGCAGTGTCCATAAACTCGTCGGATCGACTGTTATCACCGCACGAATGGCAGCACGCCCGCTCTGTAGTCGCCTGCTGCCCTTGCCGATCTGACCCGCTTAGATCGCCGTCCCCGAATCTTCTCTGGGCTCGTGGTCCAGCTGGAGCCGTCCTTGCCGCGCTGCTGCCTCGCTTTGTAGCTGATGCCGCTGAGGCCGATCTTCGGGCGGGATTGCGCGCTGCATTGCGAGGAGCTTGCAGTGGATGCGTTTCAGGTAGCGCCGTCTCTTGCAGTAACATCGCCCTGGCGTGCACCCACAGTCGTCGAGCTGTATTCGTTGCCTAATGGGTGGGGGGAGGTTCCTCATCAGCTCTGCTACGTCGATGTAGTTGAATTCCAACCTCAGCCACGAGCAACTGCTGGTGGTCTCTGTAGCGTCGCTGCTGAGCCTGGTACAGCCGATTTGAAGCAGCAGTGCTTTCGTCTCCGCTGTGTACAGTCGGTTGTGGCTCAGGTGTAGCTCCTGCAGGGTCTCCGAGTGCTTTTCGATAAAGGTCCCGAGTGGTTCCATGTCTCGTATCTCGTTGTGGTGCAGGTACACTGCTTGGACAGTGCCGCCGACGGCCTCGAGGATTTCTGCCGCGGCATGCTCGTCGAGGCTGTTGTGCTCCATGTGCACTCTCAGCGGAGCCCTCGGGGGCTGCCACTGGCGCAGGGCTTGGCACCACCGATACACGTCTTGCCTGGTCCGCAAGGCTCCTACGAGGTAGACCAGGCCGCTTGGCCGCAGGCGCTCGAGCTCTGACGATGTCAAGGGGCTCATGGCTGCACGGCTTAGCAATGGGACGCGTGTCGCTTTTTCTTGGCTTGAACCGGCGTTGACTCTCCGTGGTCGCGGTGGTTTCTCGGCCTATCTTGGCCTGCATGATGCAGCTCCACGTACAGCTCATGCCAAGATGCAGATCAATGATAACGAGCTCAGCAAGCATGTACGACATCTTGAGTCGCTTTTTTTCCCAAACACTGCCGGACGCCGGCGTCGTGATTCCCGCGCAGCTCCTGCGGCGGTTCGACCTCTGTGAAGATGTGCGCCACTGAATTGCAGGGTGCTGCTCAGATTGGTCTTAGCGCTAGGGCTGAGGCGGTGGCCTCATGCCAGCGTGTAGTCCGGCCAGAAGTCCTGGGCAACGTCGTTCTCTCGATGCTGTTGTTTGCTTGCTTATCTGCCTTTACGTTTGAATCTGTAGGGTCAGGACGTTGAAATCGAGTCCACCATCTCGCGACCAGCGGCACCACCCCATCACGGCGGCTCCGTGGCATACTTCTTCCTGCGTCTGCGTGGGGTGGTTCTGGTCTGTTGCGGGCCATGGGTATTCATTGCGGCGTTTTTGTTGATGTGGCAACTTGTGCGTGTGCACGTGTCTCTGTGTGTGTGTGTGTGTGTATGTGCGCATGTGTGGGTGTGTATGTGTTCGTGCGTGTGTGTGTGGAGTGTGTGTGTGTGTGTGTGTGTGTGCGCGTGCGTGTGTGCACGCCTGCGTGCGTGCATGCGTGCGCGCGTGCCATTGGCTGTCTTGCGGGTGAGACGCGCCCGTGTAGTGGTACCAGTTGCCGCTGTGGAACCACCACCACTCGCCGTTCGACCTGCTTCATGCACGCTGACAGTTGCATCTTTGATCTATTTGCTATAGCAGCATCCCTGATCTTTTTGCTGTAATAGCAATCGTGACTGCCTGAACGGTCGCCCGGTCTGGCGATCGTCGTGTGCCGACGTCGAATTACCCATCTGGAGACGGTCCTCAGTTATCGGGGTGGCATGCAGTTCAGATTATTTGATTGATCTGGGTTTTCGCTCTCGCCTCGTCGGGCGATGGCACGGCAGCGAGCCGAGGAAGGGCTGTGGAGCCGGATATGCTACGAGATTGGTTTCACGAGCTTGCTGCATGGGCTACTGCGGTTCTCTTTGCACCACTGACGTGCCTGTCCTCGCTGCCCGTTTTGCGCCCATCCATTACACGTCGCGTCGCCGGCTGCGCTCACATGCAGCACCCTCCCCTGCTTCTTCTCGGCTTCGGAGGCTCCCAGCCAGCTGCGATCAGGTGCCTGCAGTTTGTCGTGATATCGGTTGTGCTCGTGTGGCATGTGAGGGTGTTGGGGCTCCGGCGCCCAGTCTTTCCGTGCGGGAGGATAGTGTATCGTCTCGAATACCACTGTGACGGATGGTCTTCTGAGCTCGTGCATGGTGCATAAACTGTAGAGCTCGTTGTTCTCCGAGTCGAACGCCCTCCACTTCGTGTGTAGTTTAGATATCCCCTTCGCCTGATATATTTTGTCGACATATGTCTGGAAAAATTCGTCTGGTGGCACCTGTCGACACGGCTGTTAGCAACGGTGCATCGGAACTGCCTAACTTTTGTACATTGCCTGGAACTCGAATTGCTCTCCGGAAACCATCCGGATCTTCAGCTTGCGCACAGACCTTCGTGCACCATCGCGATCGCTTGCATACCCGCGCAAGGTAGCGGTCGCCGAGGATGGGGCTTGTATCGGCGCCTGTACCTTATCATTTTTGCCGTAAAGCCGACCTGGGCAGAGGCGGGTGTCGGGCATCTTTTTTGGAGCACCGACGGGATACTTGGGGCGGGGCTCTGTGGATGCTTTTGCACGCCATAGCGGTAGGCGGCCGGAGCTTGTCTTTCTGCGTGTGCGTGTGTGTGTGCGTGTCTGTGTGTTTGTGTGTGTGTGTGTGTGTGTGTCTGTCTGTTTGTCTGCCTGTGTGTGTATGTCTGTGCTGTGTGTGCATGTGCTTGCTTTCGTCTGAGCTCTATGACGGTTGTTGTGTCACTTTGCTGCTGTCTCTTCTCTTAGTTAGGGCTGCTGTGTGAACAAGGCTCGGCTTACGTATTGTGACTTATGGCTCCTTCGGCGTGGGTAAGCGTGTCGAGGAGGTTGGCGTCGAGAAGCACATGCGGGTGTTCTTTGAGAGTAAGCCGTGTGCCGTTCATTGCTGTGACGTCGGGCCTCGTAGTCTTCTAGTTGGCCTCCCCTGGTGCGCTGCATCTCTTTTTCCAGTCCGTGGCAGCTCGTCCCGCGCAGCGCCTGCAGCGGATGGGCCTTGGTCCGGGTCGGTTTGTTCCAGCTTCTATGCTTGCAGTTATCCTTCTGAGCTGTGGTTGCCGCGATTGGCATTGAGGTGGCGGCCTCGCTTGTGCCTGTAGTCCGGTCCGGGTTATTGCCTGCAGAGTCGACTGTGTCTGTTGCGTGCATTCGTTGCGAGAGTGCGGCGTCTTTGGGCTGGTAAGGGCCGGGCAGAGCGAGCTTTTCCGGCATTGGCACCTCCGCCGCTCGGGGTGTTTGGCAGACTTGCACCTGGCACACGGCCGTTGCGTAGCTTTCTGTTATCCGCTCGCGTCCGTGTTGCTTCGCCTGCTTGTGGACTGCGAACATCAGTTGCATCTTCACATCCTCCTCAAGTGGCGGCACCTCGTTTGGCTTGTTCCGGGTCTGTCTTAGTGGGTTGGGGTGCGCTTGGCCTGGCTTGCCTGTCTGCTGAGGCGGTTGCCCCGATAAACTCCAGCGTCGCTTCCAGGAACACTTTGGGCCGTAGTGTTGCACCATCGGTTGCAAAGGCCTTGGTATTGAAATGTATTGTTCTGTTATTTTACCTCTTCTGGTTGTTTCGGTGGGCCTTTATGAGTCGCCATGCGATGTAGTCCGCGAAATGGCGTGCCTACAGGGCTTGCGCGTCTCTGTGCCTGCTGAAGAGCTGTCATGCACTTACAGAACCCGCCTCAGACCGTAGCGGGTGGCTTGCGAGCATCGCTTTGTCGGTGCAGCCGAGGTGGAGCATCAACTGTGTTGGCGACGGCGGTTTGTTGATGTGTGTGTCGTGTTATGGCCCGCGCGGCCTTGTCCTTGGTGCACCCAGGTAATTGACAGTAGATCTCCACCAGTTCGGCGATGCTGTGTTCGACACCTTCCACGGTTGCGCTTCGCTCGGGCCCGTGCGTTGCATGAAACAGAGAATACGGCCTGACATCTGGTTCTGCTTCTCCTGCAGGCGACGTTGCTTGCTCAACTCCTCTTTGTTCTATACAATCATGTGCCTGGACTGGCCGTGTTGGGTATGGCTTGCTATCTTCGAGTGGCAATATGGCTGCAGTGCGTGTCGGCTGCTAAGTTGGGCACGGACACAGACCCTTCTCCCACATCGAGGGTTATGACTAGGACGGCATGCTGGCTCGTTTTGCCGAACCGGTCTACTCACGCCGAACACATCTGACGGCACTGGCCGTACCTTGGTAGGGGCGGGGAAGTCAACGGAGGCAATGCACGCACATGATGCGGATACACTGTGGATATGGACAGGTTTGTCGCATCTGGCTGCAGCTCGATCCCCCGTGAGCGGCGTATCTTGGCCCTGAAACGATGACCGGTTCCTTCATTGCCACCCGCCTTGGTTGTACCTTAGCAGCGGTGCAAAAGGAAGCTACATCGATCGGTACATGTAAGCACCGTAAGCACAGACGAAGCGCGAGTTTGACCGAAATTGACATGTTTAATTGCAGTCGAGTTGCTTCCGGTGTCGTACCTTGGTTGGGACATGAAGAATTAACCCATGTACGAGGGAGCTTGTTTGGAAGTATGAACATGACGAACGATCACACGTACGATGGAGCATGAACTGGGAGTGTGAAGATCCCCGAAGGCACCCCCCGGGCAGAGTCATGATCCGCTTCCGGGATAGCCTTGTTTTAGAATACCTTTCGCGTTTCCGTAGCTGTTTCTGTTCGGAATGAACCAGCTTCACCCGCACTGGATACCCGATTTTGGAGTGAATCGGGACACCGGTAGTAACACGCACTCGCAAGCGAGTACATGCGTTCCCTTTTGCAGGTTAAACGGAAAATCCTGGCATCTGGCTTTAAAGCGCCTGGCTCAGGAAGGTATCCTCGGCCTTTTTAGGTATGTGGAGGCCGGTTCTCCAGTGATTGGGTGTGCTCCAGCAGTCGCTGTAGAGAGCCGCCCAACACTAGATTCCACAGGGATAGCTTAGAAGGTCCGCTCGGCTGCAAGCGGAGCGCCTAGAAACGCACTGTGTGTACGGCTTCGGTCCTGTGATTTTGGGGTTCGGTCTTCCCTTGCGAAGCCTAGATTGACACATGCTGTCAATATTCTGCGCCTTTTGGTCGTGCCTTTATGTGAGCTGCCGACTAAAGCCCCGAAATATTGACACTGCCTGTCAATCTTCTGTGCCTTCCAGCCGAGGAGCCCGCCCGGTGCGTCACACTCCCCGTGTGGCTGTGGTCCATACATTGACGCATACTGTCAATATTTTGCGCCTTCTGGTCGTGTCCTTATGTGAGCTGTCGACTACAGCCCCCAAATATTGACACTACCCGTCAATCTTCCGTGCCTTCCAGCCGAAGAACCCGCCCGGTGCGTCACACTCCCCGTGTGGCTGTGGTCCATACATTGACGCATGCTGTCAATGTTCTGCGCCTTTTGGTCGTGCCTTTATGTGAGCTGCCGACTAAAGCCCCGAAATATTGACACTGCCTGTCAATCTTCTGTGCCTTCCAGCCGAGGAGCCCGCCCGGTGCGTCACACTCCCCGTGTGGCTGTGGTCCATACATTGACGCATGCTGTCAATATTTTGCGCCTTCTGGTCGTGTCCTTATGTGAGCTGTCGACTAAAGCCCCCAAATATTGACACTACCCGTCAATCTTCCGTGCCTTCCAGCCGAAGAACCCGCCCGGTGCGTCACACTCCCCGTGTGGCAGTGGTCCATACATTGACGCATGCTGTCAATGTTCTGCGCC